CTTCCCAGTGCCTCCCAGCACCTTCCCAGTGCCTCCCAGCGCCTTCCCAGGGCCTTCCCAGGGCATCCTAGGGCCTCCCAGCATCCCAGTGCTTTCCAGTGCCTCCCAGTGGCCCCTGGTGCTTCCCAGTGCCTCCCAGTGCTTCCCAGTGCCTCCCAGTGGCCCCTGGTGCCTCCCAGCACCTTCCCAGTGCCTCCCAGCGCCTTCCCAGGGCATCCTAGTGCCTCCCCGGGCATCCTAGGGCCTCCCAGTGTCTTCTGAGGCATCCCAGTGCTTTCCAGTGCCTCCCAGTGGCCTCTGGTGCTTCCCAGTGCCTTCCCAGTGTCTCCTGGGGCATCCCAGTGCCACCCAAGGCATCCTACTGCTTCCCAGTGCCTCCCAGTGCCACCCGAGGCACGCTGCTGCATCCCAGTGCCTTGCATTGCCTCCCAGTGCCACCCAAGGCACCCTGCTGCTTCCCAGTGCCTTCCAGTGCCTCCCAGTGCCACCCGAGGAACCCTGCTGCTTCCCAGTGCCTTCCAGTGCCTCCTGGGGCACTCCAGTGCCTCCCAGTTCCTCCTTGGACATCGCAGTGCCTTCTGGGACATCCCAGTGCCTCCCAGTGCTTCCCAGTGCCTCCTGGGGCATCCCACAGCCTCCCAGTGCCTCCCTGTGATTCCCAGTGCCATCCCAGTGCCTTCTGAGGCATCCCAGTGCCTCCCGGTGCTTCCTGGTGTCTTCTAGGGACTCCCAGCGCCTCCCAGTACCTCCCTTTGCCTTCTAGGGCTTCCCAGTGCCTTCCAGTATGTCCTCAGGCTTCATGGGGCCTCCCAGTGCCTCCCAGTACCTCCCAGTTCAGCCCACTGGTTGCTGGGGCTTTCCAGTGCCACCCAGTGCCTCCAGTGTCTCCCAGTGCCTCCCATTGCATCCTTGTGCCTCCCAGCATGTCCCAGTGCCTCCTAGTGCCTCCCAGTACAACCCAGTATGTCCCATTGCCTTCTAGAGCATCCCAGTATATCCCAGTGCCTCCCAGCATTTGCCAGTAAATCTCAGTGCCTCACAGTGTTTCCCAGTGTCTCCCAATCTGCCCCAGTGCTTTCCAGTGCCTCCCAGTGTGTCCCTGGGGCAAAGCCTGCTCCTCTGGGGCCTCCCAGTATATCCCAGTACACCTCAGTGCAGCCCCTTAGCTCCTTTAGGACCTCCCAGTGCCCTTCTTATCCTTCCCAGTTCATCCCTGTACCTCCCAGTTCACCCCCGTACCTATCAGGGCCTTCCTGTGCTTCCCAGTGCTTCCAAGTGCTTCCCAGTGCCCCCCAGTGCCCTTTCCAGTGCTTCCCAGTGGCCTTCCTGTCCTTCTCAGCACCTCCCAGTTCATCCCCACACCTATCTGAGCCTTCCTGTGCTTCCCAGTATGTCCCAGTGCCCTTCCCAGTGCCTCCCAATTCATCCCCACACCTATCCAAGCCTTCCTGTGCTTCCCAGTATGTCCCAGTGCCCTTCCCAGTGCTTCCCAGTGCCCTTCCTGTCCTCAGTGCCTCCCAGTGCTTCCCAGTTCATCCCCACACCTATCTGAGCCTTCCTGTGCTTCCCAGTATGTCCCAGTACCCTTTCCAGTGCCCCTCAATTCATCCCCACACCTATCCAAGCCTTCCTGTGCTTCCCAGTATGTCCCAGTGCCCTTCCCAGTGCTTCCCAGTGCCCTTCCTGTCCTCAGTGCCTCCCAGTGCTTCCCAGTTCATCCCCACACCTATCTGAGCCTTCCTGTGCTTCCCAGTATGTCCCAGTGCCCTTCCCAGTGCCTCCCAATTCATCCCCACACCTATCCAAGCCTTCCTGTGCTTCCCAGTATGTCCCAGTGCCCTTCCCAGTGCTTCCCAGTGCCCTTCCTGTCCTCAGTGCCTCCCAGTGCTTCCCAGTTCATCCCCACACCTATCTGAGCCTTCCTGTGCTTCCCAGTATGTCCCAGTGCCCTTCCCAGTGCCTCCCAATTCATCCCCACACCTATCCAAGCCTTCCTGTGCTTCCCAGTATGTCCCAGTGCCCTTCCCAGTGCTTCCCAGTGCCCTTCCTGTCCTCAGTGCCTCCCAGTGCTTCCCAGTTCATCCCCACACCTATCTGAGCCTTCCTGTGCTTCCCAGTATGTCCCAGTGCCCTTCCCAGTGCCTCCCAATTCATCCCCACACCTATCCAAGCCTTCCTGTGCTTCCCAGTATGTCCCAGTGCCCTTCCCAGTGCTTCCCAGTGCCCTTCCTGTCCTCAGTGCCTCCCAGTGCTTCCCAGTTCATCCCCACACCTATCTGAGCCTTCCTGTGCTTCCCAGTATGTCCCAGTGCCCTTCCCAGTGCCTCCCAATTCATCCCCACACCTATCCAA